GAGGGGGGGGAGCGCGCGCCGATTGGCAGATCTCGTAAAAGACGACGGTGAAGGCGAGCTCGGGGCCGGTCGCGCCGAGGATGCAGAGGGGCTGGCCCGAGAGGAAGGAGTAGATGAGGCCCGACATGCCAGACGAGATGATCGTCTCGATGACGCCGAGCTGGTTGTCGGTCGCGTCGGCGAAGGCGGCGCCGAAGGTGACGGCGGGCGAGAGGCAGGCGAAGAAGAGGAAGCAGATGGAGGCGGTCGTCTTCATGCAATTGCCGCCGGTGAAGGCCTCGGTCCAGTCCGACACGTAGAGCGGCACGCGGCGCAGCAGGTCGGCGCGGAGCCCGCCCGCGAAGCGGCCGGAGAACTCGAGCGGCGCGAGCTCCGAGATGGGCTTCTTCCCCTTCCGCCGCTTCGCCCCGCTGGATTTCGTGGCCGCTCCCACCATCCCGCTCTCCTGGTCCGGCGTCTCGGGCACCGACTTTGGCTCAGACCCGGTTTCCTCTGCGAACGGGTCAGCCTCTGCATCGTGACCAGCCGTCGCCGGCGTCTCCAAGGCGTCCGCGACGTGGTTGACAGAGGAATAGTTGTCGTCGCCCGGGTACTCCTCCCTCTTCGACATAATGTGGACCTAACGGGGTGGGCAAAAGGAGGCTGATGTCGGTAGGGGTTTTCGACCCGCGGCCGCGATGCGGATTGCGAGCCAGGAATCGCAGATCTCGTTGTTCTCCGGGAGGCGGCGCGTGCTCGTCGCGGGAAGTGTGGTGGTCTCTCTCTCTCTCTCTCTCGGATGTGAGCTCTTGTGCCCAGGTGGGGAAGCTTCGCGATCACCTTTACCTGTGTCACGTTGAGCCCGCTGTGCGTTTCTTCGAAGGGAGTCTCCAACCACGGCGCCTTGATTGAGAAGAAACTACGTCCCGCGCTTTGCGCTGGTCTATGAGAGGTTGAGGAGGTTCGTCGTCGTCGTCGTCGAGGCCCTGGGGATGGGGGGAGACTACCCGCAGGCATTTAGAAGGCCCGCGCGCAGGGGGGTGGGCCACACACAACCCGCGGGCCCGAAATCGTACAGTGACATTCGAGAACAAAACAAATTCGAGAGAGATTTTGTTTGTTGAGATTTTTAGCAATACCAAACAAATCTAACACTCACACGTCATTTGGGGCCTGGAGCCCTGTTCACGCGCGCGCGAGACGTGCAGACAGGGTTGCCAGGTGGTGTTGTTTGTTGTTGTTTGTTGACATTCGTACACGCAAAAACAAAACAAACACGCTAACACGGCTCCCGGCCCCAAATGATGTGTGAGTGTCAGAATTGTTTGGTATTGCTAAAAATCTCTCTCTCTACACACAACACGGGGTCCGGAGCCCGGAGGCGGGCTCGGCAAACGTATGCGCCGCCTCGGGGGGCGAACGGAGCCCCCCACGCCCCGCCTGGTCGGCCAGCGGAGCCCCCACTCCCGGTGTGCCGGCGGGAGCGGCGGGGGCTCCGGTGCTGGCCGGCGCAACCGAGGTTGGCCACATCTCCAGCGAGCCGGCGGCGCAGCGTGGCCGGCCGAATCGGCCTCTCCAAGCGTGGCAGGGAGCTCTGGAATTACGCTTTGGGAGTGCCGATTCGTGCCCGATGCTATGAACATCCAGGCCCGCGTTTTGCTATATAGTGAGAACTAACACGTGATGAAGTGTAAAGGAGACGACGCTTCATAAGATCCTCCTCCATTCTAAGCAAACGTCCAACGATCAGTCACACCAACCAGAGAGGGGCAACACAACAACAACACACAATGCAGTCCAAAGGCAGCGCCTGGAGTGCTGAAAAACAGCTGAAGACGTATGTCGTGCGATGCAAGTGCTCCAAGTGCGATGCAACGATGGACATTTTGCGTTTGATTCATGTCGTTTACGGCATTTCGCTTCGCTGCGCGACCTGGGGAGAGGTCGGTAGTGCGGCATTTTGGGCGGCAGTGGCATATGTGTGGTCCCAAAATCACGAGATGAACCCGAACCCCGTCTTGCGTTCTGGCGGCCGACCTCGGAATATGACAGCAGTATGGACATGGCTGTGAAGGCTCCTGCGCAGCCATCTTACTTCAGGATGGATGGCTGAGTTAGCTACAGTGCAGCCATTCATAGCCTCCAGAGCCCGATGGCTGCAATACCCAATACAACCACACAGGGCAGCCATCCTGATGAGTAGGGATGGTTGGAAGCTCGCGCGCCGCAGCCATTCCGCCCGCCCCGGCTGAGCTGGCTATATCTGGACGACTGGGGCAGGGCGACTCACCGACCGGAAGGTGAAGGGGGACGAGCGAGGGCGGAGGCAGACTCAGCTGCTCTTGAAGTGCAGCGGACCGCCAGGCTCGCCGGCAGCATCCGCAGGGAGGCCGCATATCATGCGCCGGTCTTCTGAACAGCATGACAGCCGCAGCCGCGGTGGCAGAGTCGGCCGCGGCTCGAAGCAGCAGCTTTTGGTCGGAGCATGATGCATGTGCATGGCTGGCTGCTGATAATCGACATCAGCCATCCCGCCGCCCCCGCCACGCGCGCAGATGGCTCCGCGCTCGTCGCCCCAGCCTGTGGGCAGGGGGGCTGCCATACGGTATCAAGCACCTAGCTCCCTACCAGCATGAGCCCGAACCCCGGCGTTTGGTTACCTTGCTCGCGCGCTGGTGTGTATGGCCATCTCCCCCGACCTCTCAGATCCGCTCGACGACGCCAAGGGCGGCATCTCGCTATGGGGCCGCTGGCTGCAGGACAGGGACGAGCAGGTGGTGCTGAAGCTGCGGGTGGCGACCGGCACAAAGGGTCGAGCTGTTCGGGTCGACTTCAAGTCGGCGAGCCTCAAGGTGGCGGTGAATGCCGAGGTCTGCATGGACGGCACGCTGAGCGCGCAGGCGCCTCGCCGCACACGCCTCGCTCCCGGCCCGCGAGGCCCACGGACCTCGCACCGTCAGGTGCTTCCTGATGAGTGCGAGTGGCAGCTCGACGACGACGCCGAGGGCGGCCGCGAGCTCGTCGTCACGCTCCGCAAGGCGTCGCCGGGCTGGTGGGACCGCGTGCTGCAGCAGGCGTGCCAGCCGCCCGCGCGACGCAAGCCGTACCCTCGCCCAGCCTCCCGCTTCTCCGCTCTCAGGATGCGCCCATCTCCACCAAGGCCTTTGACGAGCCGCCCTTCATGCTCGGGGGGATGACGGATCTGCAGTGCGCCCCGCCGCCCGCCCTCGCGCGCGGCACAACCTCACTCCGCACGGCCCGCGCCGCGGCAGGCACGAGAGCATGCGGGACCACGTCGCGCGGATGACGGGCGGAGGCACACCAGGCAGCGCGTGGGACGGGAGGTGACGGCATCGAGGCGCAGGAAAGAGGCCCGTCGAGCCTGCCGCCTCTCCCGTTGAGGTGCCTCTGCCTTAAATCAGGTGCATGTTTTTGTATGTCTCGAGCGCGTGAGACTGGCCCAGGGAACTATATCTTCTCTCGCTCTTGACGACACACTATACACACACGACTATATATATAGACAGTGAGAGACACAGTGACGAGTGAAGAGTGAGTTATGAGTCACTCTATCGGACTGACACGGTGTGTTCCCGAGTGTCCCTGGGCGACGAGTCCTGGCTTCGTCCGGAGGTCCGTGGAGCATCTCGAGGGAAAGACGTCGACAGCGAAGAGCTCGTGTGCGAGAGAGTTTGGCGTGAGAGCTATGCGATTGTGCAGCCGCAAACGCAAGAGGTGTCCGTCGGATCGCTGAATGAGTTCATCCCGCCGCGCTGGCGCTCGCGGGGGGGCTTGGTGACTTGCGCGGCGTAAACCTTTGCCTGCAACGAGAGGGTGTTTTGGTTGAGCGGCCGGCGCGTTCGGCGAATGAGGTGGGTACTGTGATTGGGCGGAACCTTCAGTTCCTCGTTCTCACGTTGCAGGTCCTCGTACGTGGGCTGCGGCTCCTCTGCGTCGGGCATCGTCAGGATGTGCAGATTTAGGCGGAAGGCAAAGCGAGGCAAAGTGTCACGGCAACGCACTCCCGAGATTGGCGTGGTTCTTTTCTCTTTTCCGATACGAAAGGTTCTCGAAAGGGGAGCATGCACATGACATGAACATGATTTCGGGCCCTGACTGTCGTTGCTGTCTCTCCTCCTTCTCATCTGATGAGTGAGAGAGACAGGACCATCGGGTCCTTGGATACCCATCACTGAGCCGACAATGCTACGGGTAGCCCCAGGGTGGCGCCCACCCCCATACCCTCGGGCACTTGCCTGCGCCCTCACGCGCTAGCCTACGCCCTGCCCCGCAAGATCTCACTCCATCCCTCTAGCTCTACCGAGTATACCAAACAACTCATGTTTTGTGTGTCATCTGAGAGAGAGAGAGATTTTGTTGTCATCTGTGGACTGTGCTTGCGAGAGACAGAGAGAGATTTGTGTTGCTTGCGTGTAGCGGCTGCGGTTACCGCTGCTTTTGCCGCTGTTGCTGCCTCTGCTGCGGCTGCTGCTATAGCCCGTGGGTGTGACATGAGGTTGCCAGCGATACACATGTAGCCGGCTGCACTCCAAGTGCTCCAAGTGCCCGCAGCTGCGGCCGCAGCCACCGCCCGGCGAGGACGCTGCGGTGCGGACGCTCTGCGGGCACGGGCACGGGCGTGGAGGAGGCGCTCAAGCTGGCAGGAGGAGGATGCGTATGGAGGCGGAGATGATGGGGGCGCTCGCCGCGTGCGGCGATTGAGCGCCTCCCTCTCTCTCCGGCTGCGCGCCCTGAGGCCTGACTGACCGGTGCTCCGGAGGTTTGTTTTGTTGCAGCCTCCGAGTCGGCGTCTAGCGCGCGCGATAAGGTTTTTGCTCGCCTTCCCTGGGACCCCGCGTGTTGCGTGACTGTGTGCGCGCGATTTCGGGCCCGGGTTCTGCTTTTGCGTGACGCCATTTCGGGCCCCGGGGTTGCGCCAAGCTTTCGGGCGGGTTGTGATCTTCTGTAAAGCTAGCCGTGAAGAGCGCCGTTTTGCATCACGTCGGCGGCTTCTCGTCGAAGCTGTGTGTCCGATCGACTTTCGCTGCTTGCCGGTCGTCTGTGATGGAGTCGCCCTCCCGCGAGTCGCCGGACGCGTCGATCGCGTCCGGTGAGCTGCCGCACGGGCTGACGATCGTGTCTGAGGAAGCGCTTGCTGCTCCGGCCCCGGGCGGCTCGAAGCTGCGCGAGCGCGCCCGACCGGCCCGCACGTACAGAAAGGGGATGATCGCCGACGTGCCGCTGATGCTATCGCTGCGCGGGAGCGCGCTGGTGCGCACGCTTCCGTGGGCTACGCTCGCCGGCGGCTACGCGGCCGTGCTCCACACCCAGGTCGGCTGCCAGGTGTGGCCCTCATTTTGCGCAAACGGCAACCCGCAAGACGGCATCGAAGGGAACAACTCAGACAACGACTTCATCTTCATGCACACGTACGCGTACTCGGCGATCCTGCTCGCCTCGGGCTTCGGGCTCGTGATGCGGCTCAACCAGAGCCTCGGCCGCTACTGGGAGGCTCGCTCCGCGGTGCAGAGCATGGCGAGCAAGTGGTGCGACGCCATCCTCATGTCGGCGTACATGGACGAGGAGGCGGACGACGAGGCGAAGCTGCGAGAGAAGGAGTCGGCGGCCTTCGCGCGCTGCCTGCTCCACCTTGGCTCGCTGCTCCACGCGACGGCGATCCACACCCTCCGCTGCGACCGAAGCCTCGACTCGCTCCGCGCCCGCTCTCCTTCCCGCCGGCCGGGCGAGCAGAGGCACCAGAGCTACACGGCGGCGTCGTGGTTCGACGGGCTCGCGGACGACGAGGCGGACTTCGCGCGTCGCAACCCGGTGGAGGTTTTGGGGGGCCTAAACCCCTGGGAGGCCCCCTCCCTGGGGGGTTGGATGAAGGGGGGCCCTTTTTTCTTGGGGGGGCTCCCCCCCCTCCTCTCAAAGGGGCCAAAAAGGGGGGAGCCCCCCCCCAGGCCTTGGCCCCCCCACCCCGGCCCAGGCCCTGGGGAAACCCCCCCCCCCCCCCCCCCCCCCCCGCCTCCCCGCACCGCCGCGCCTCAGGCGGGCTCGGCCACGACGCGCCGATCGTCTCGCGCATCTACCAGGTCCTCTCGGACGGCACGCTGCCGTACCACGCCGCCCTCAAGGTGGTGGACACGCCCTTTCCCTTCGCGTACGCGCAGCTCAACGCCTTCATCTGCCTCGTCAACCTCGGCCGCCCCTCGCGGTCGGAGGCGGCACAGGCCGCGAGCGCGCGCTGTTGACACGGCGAGCTTGAGTAGGCCTCTTCCCGGTGGTTGTGGTGGACAAGGTCGCCTCCCTCCCCCTCGCGGTGGTCATCTCCTTCTGCTCGGTCGCCTTCCTGTTCGGCCTCAACGAGGTTGCGCGCGACATCGAGGACCCGTTCACCACCACGCTCGGCTGGACCTTCGGCGCCAACCGGCTCGACGCGCCGCTGCTGCAGGCCTACTTCGACGAGCGGCTGCTCTCCATCGCCTCCCTCGCGGGCGACGACCTGCGCGAGTGGCCGGAGGGGCCGTGCCGCTACGGGCCCTTCCTCTCGATGGCGATCGGCAGCAAGGCTGTCGAGGAGATGTCCGCCCCGTGGTCGAGCCACGGGAGAGGCGCGAGCATGACCGTCCACGGGAGCATGGCCGACTACCGGAAGTGGAAGCGCGACGCAGACGAGGGCAGGCCCTCGGACAAGTCGGACGAGGGGGCCGCCACCCGCTCGTCCACCGCCCTCTGAGGCAGCCGGGGCGTGGGCAGGCGCGTCGCGAGCGGAATCGGTCCTGGGTGGAGGTCCGGCCGTTGCTGCCGCGTGCGTGCGTTTGAGGTTACTGGTTTCGGTTTGTCTCGCGCATGAGAAAGAAGACTCCCAGCGTCTCTCTGCACTGTGCCGCACGCCGCGATGGGTGATGCTCTGATAAACCCTCCGGATCTTCGACAAAGGTCGGATATTTCTTTTTTCAAAGTGCAAGGTGTGAATAAGAGGTTTATGATAGGGCTACTACGACGAACTATGCGGCAATCGACTGGGCGCCTGGCGCCCGACCACCCCCGCGCAAAGACCTCGTAGTAGCCCTCCCCGTAACCGACTTGGCCGGAGACGTGTGTCCTTCCAGGGACCAGGCCGCTGTCGCCGCGCAGAGATCGGCGCGAGCTGTCGCTCGAGGTGCTCTACTGGCTGGCGGTGCTCAAGGGGAAGGCGCACACGCTGGCCGAGGACACGGTCGTCAACACACCGACACCATCCCCGCGGGCTATCTCGTGGTCAAGGCGCAGTGGCTTCAGGCTCGAGCAACGCGAGTGCGAGGGCAAGCTTCGCTCCTACACGCTGCTCGAGGCCGAGACGCTCATCATCGTGAATCACATGGTGCGGCTGGCGGGCTTGCGCTTCTCGCCCGGGCGGCCCTGCGGACCGCCAGCTGAGGAGCGCGCGCGAGAAGCTCTATATTGGCCTACAGACGCATTACTCGCTCGAGGGCGTGCTGCAGTGAAGACTTATTTTGGAGGCGTCGATTTGTGCAAAAATGTGTGTTAGAGTGCGCTAGATGGCAAAATTTTCTTCGCCTCCGGCGGGGCCGCTCGCCGCGGGGCTAGAGAGTGACTTTTGTCGATGTCGGCTAGAAGTGCTGCACGTTTTTCAGAATTTCACCCCGATACTCGGCATGTCGGTGGTAGAGGGTATGGAGGCTGAGTTGAGACGGAAATCGGGGGACGCCGGACGCCACGCGACCCACTTCGCCACACAGTCACACTCACAGAGAGTCAGAGACGGAGAGGTCAGAGGCGGGAAGTGGGGTCCGGGGCCCCACCGGGGAGGTCCCGCGCCTCGCCACTATGACGGGTAGACGACCGCGGCTCGTGTGCGTCTACCCGTCTTTGTCCGGAGTGAAAAGTCCAACGCGCTCGTCGGTGGCGGCTTCCCCCAACCTGCGCCGCGCTCGGCGAACCTCGACAGCGCCTTCGGTGGCATGCAGCTCTTTGCGACAGAAGCCTGGAGAGCAGCTCCACTGGAGCAGGCGGACATCGCTTCCAGGGAGGGGGGCGCCCTTCCTACTCACGCCCCCACCCCCCCC